TGCCGCTCGCTGCGAGCTATGGGTTGTGTCCACATCTCCCCGTGTAAAAAAACTAATGTTATCTGTATAATAGGCAGGAGCTGATGGATACACGGACGAGCATGCATACACAATACGATACATGATAACGATGTGCGCCATTAGGTGCAGCGTTTATACATGATGATGCATGATGTTCGCCAATTTTGAATTGTCTTAGGCTTGATTCATCGCAATTTTTATACCTAACGGTGAATAAAAATGTTAGCCGCAATTCAAATACTGAATATTATTTTCTTTGTCGCACGATGCACAGTCCGCTCATGACCTGAACATGCAGATATATGAAGTACTTTCCTGATTTCGTTTTGCTGACTTCTTACATGGCGTGCATCGTACATCGTCATCACTCATATGTATTGTACGCAATACTTGAGTGCACGGTGTTGTTCAGTGTCAGCCCTGAGCTGACACGTCATTTTCTGCACACACGTACACGTGGTGGTTCAGTGTCAGCCCTGAGCTGACACGTCATGCGCTGCACACACGTACACGTGGTGGTTCAGTGTCAGCCCTGAGCTGACACGTCATTTTCTGCACACACGTACACGTGGTGGTTCAGTGTCAGCCCTGAGCTGACACGCCACGCGCTGCACACACGTACACGTGGGACACGCCACGCGCTGCACACACGTACACGTGGGACACGTCACGCGCTGCACACACGTACACGTGCGACACTTCACGCGCTGCACACACGTACACGTGGGACACGTCACGCGCTGCACACACGTAAACGTGGGACACGCCACGCGCTGCACACACGTAAACGTGGGACACGTCACGCGCTGCACACACGTAAACGTGGGACACGCCACGCGCTGCACACACGTAAACGTGGGACACGCCACGCGCTGCACACACGTATCACGGGTTTGTTGTTCGTGCCGCCAGTCGCTGTTTTCCGACGTCCAGACACGACAAAACCTGGCGCTTTTCTAAATGTGTTTTCGTCGGCGGGCCGTCTGAGCCTGGCAGATTTTTTTTTTTTCTGCTGGCATCGTCTCACATCGATGTCTGTGTAATTGGCGAGGCTGTTTCTTCGACAAGGGATTTAATGTGATATATTATACCTGCATTAATTGCTATGCCATAATATTTACGATGTTTAAGGTCACTAACCTACTGCTCAATTGTATCTCGATTATTGTACTGCAACTGTTGGCTTATCGGAACTCGAGTTCAGAAGTTTTTAGGGAAAATAAAATGAATCCAAGGTATGAATTACTCCTCTCTCTCATACGAGGCTGTCACAACATAGCTTTGGGTTGGTTTCGTTTTATTTTTACCTGACATTCCCTAAATAAATACTTCATAAATTAAGAATGTAACGTAGTTAATGGTGATCAATTTTCTAAAGTTGATAGTTTTTATTGGGAAGATTATTGCATTGCAACATTTAATACTGAGCTCGCCGTAGCGTCCGAGAAGCGTGACTTGATCTCGTGCAACGTCGCATGAAAGCGGAAGCTGTCGTGCAAGTCCCGTAATGTTTAGCCAGGGACTTTTTTTGCTTTTTAACGTTTAGCCAGGGACTTTTTTTTAACGTTTAGTCAGGGACTAGCTTTTTTGATTTTATTATGATCCGTTTATTCTGGTATGTGACTACCTATAATTGTGAACGCCTTGGATTTTACACAAGCAGTAGGTGGCACCAGCCTGACGCGCGACAACAACTACCAGATAGTTCGCTTTCCGAAGCCTGTCGAAGAATTACATTGGCCGTACTTCGAAGGCTAATTTATTTTACCCGCCATCTATCGCTGTCAGAAATCGGTCACGTTTGCGTGGTCTTTTCTGCCGCTGAATTTTCAAGTGACGTGCGTCGTGTTTTATCTCTGACGCTGACCGGAGGCACACGTGATGTCTCCAGCATGTAACCAGATTTACAGGTCCCACTTGAACACGTCAAGTGTCAGGTTATACACAAATTAAGCGTAAATTTGTTAAGGGTTTCTCGTGAATAATGCATGACTCTTCAGGATGGATTGCGACCTCTTCTTTTGTGGGCGCAATTGAATTGTCCTGTCGCTCGACTGGCAACTTCTACCTACTTTTGTTCTGTGATATTTGTAATTATTCTATGACTGCATTTTTCGATGTCATGAAATAAAGATTCATGCAGAGGTTCTTTTGTTATTAGCATTACTCGTGCAACACGAAGCAGAACTTCCCCTAGTTTCACGGTGGTTTGAGCAACTAATCATGGTGCCGCTTTAGGAAGCAAGGTCGTGCTGGCATTGGTAAAACTTCTTCTTGTCGACTCGCACGCCTGGAACCCATGACGGAACCACGACTCCACGTCGCTACTCGCTCCAGTGCGGTGATGTTCGTGTCAATGCTGTGGTGAACCACTGTGTCTGTGATGTTCGTGTCAATGCTGTGGTGAACCACTGCGTCCAGGCAGTGCAGTGCAGTATAAAAGAACCGTTGTCAGACTTTTTGGTACATTGGTATCGTCCTTCAACGTGCATATGTTAAAAAATTCTTTGCTACCTGGTTGGAATCGGCGGTTAATTGGGGTCCAATAGGAAAGTATTTTGGAAAATTCTATAGTATACGGACTTATTGTATTATCTATTTATTAATTATTGTGTTATTCGTAGATGTCTATGTGAATAATTTGCTAGCACGTTGGCATGGCCGGTATCTCGCAGTTTGCCACAGGAATGCGTCCAGGTCCTCTATATTTAGACTAGAAACTTTAGATCGCCGCGCTACTTCAAATTTTGCATGCCCATAAAAACACTTTTGATGGCGCCATCGACGCCCTCGAAGCTAAGTTAATTTTGGTCAAGAAACGCGATACTTAGGTACACGTTTAGAAACTTAGTCGTCTTCATGTTTATTCTTTTGAAATTCATTTACGTTTTATTTCTATAATACGTTCATATATGACAATTAGTTAATGGTTGTAATCTTGTTTTGTTATGAGGCAAAGACCTAATTGATTATCTTCAACAGTGTCGCCGCAACCTGGTTCTCTGTACGACACAAGTACACGTGTTTTCCTCGGTTCTTCTTTGTAGATACTTAAGAAAATATTTTATGAATACTTGTTGAATACCCGTGGAGCAAACATGAATAAATCAATTCATGTTTCATAATCATGTCACAAATAATCATGGAGCAAACTCCAGAATAAAATTACATATAGAAGCTGTCAAGCTGCGCCATCGACGTTGGCGATGGTGTGGGGCAGTTAAAATTTGTGTATGATAAGGGTTTGGGGTCCAAGTTATAGATACTGAATTAGTTACCAATTTTGTTGAGTATTTTTGATATTTTTGATGGGAGTGTCGGATTTGCTGCCCAATAACTATCGGATTCTCATTATCTACCCTGATTTCTACCAATAAGATGTGTGAACTTTGTTTCAATGTAAGTTTTTTCCTTGGTAACGACGGAAGATGTTGAGTTTGAAGAAAATGGTAAAGGCAGCGCGTAAAAGGTAACGTAAGGTTTTGGTCATTTCGCTAGATCATTTGCGAATTCCTACATATTGCTTTTTATTACAGCCATCTTATTTTTGAGTTGAAACCAATGTTGTCAATCATTGTTTTTTTTTTGTTCGCGCGTAGTAAACAAGATCTCCCATCAACATTTATTGTTTTTTCAAACTAGTTTATACATACAATTAAAAATTTCTTCTTTAAGAGAAAGTCGCTCGTTGACATTCAGCGTTCAAAAAGAAATTGACTGCATGGTTGTTCTATGGTGAAAAAAATTTCAAGTTGAAATTATAATAGTGATGTTAATGTTTGTGATAGAATAGCATACTAATTCTGAAAGGATGAAAAATTATATAGAAAGTATCGGACAAGCATATCAGCTCTTGCTGGTCACTCAGCGGACAAACCATAGCTGAGGTTTATTTATATCTGCCTGCTGGATGACCGTTATCGCAGCGTGCGATAGCATTCATTATGAACACAATGTTAGGCTTCACCACTTGTATCTTAGCCATAAAGCAGGCATCTTGTCGCTGTAAGACTCGGCAGGTTTTTTTAGACAAAAGATAAAATATAGCCTGAAGTTTCATGATGAAATAATTAAAGAAAAGTCCTATGGATATGTGGGTTCAAAATCAGTGAAGGCGCTCGACATTTTAATCGTTCATCGAACACTTTGTCTCACTGTTGTTAGTATTTCAACGCTATCACTTGGTTCGCTAATTGTTACCATATCATAATTTGAAGTAGAGTGTTGTGTCATCTTATATGTGTTTAAGATTGAAGAGAGTTCTGTTTATCAATGCTTTTGAGCTGACAGTGAAGTGATTGATCTATTTTATGCTTTGGAAGATGTTAAAACTTTCAGTAAGTACATTACGTGCACGTGAGGAGTTCGCTTACATTCCCTTGCCTCGTCGCATCATTGATATCCTTTTTCGAGTAGCTCGTAAATTTCTCGACAATAATATACATTCTATATTCAGTAACGTATTGTTTCATCATTTGATAATTCAAACTATATTTCTGTAATCTGTAACGATGCAATTAAATGATGAATTGGTCCATCGATCGAGTGGCGGATATGAGCTTCTCGATCGATGTGTCGATAAGTCCAGCCTCAAAGAATAGACGCGGCTCTCTGTCTTGATTTTTTTCTCTCCATTCCTCCATCACTCGAACGCATACACTGGATGAACGTGAAAAAATGTTCTCTGTTTTGGCAAATTTAAGCATTAGTTTGTAGGCTGAAATAGCTGTCATTTAGTCGTAAATTCAGCGTAAATTAAGATTTTAGTAATTTCGACTCCCATGTTTTATCAATAGTTAAATCCAAACGCGTGGCAGCCATTTCGATATGCCTGTTAATAACATGGCCGTCTTCTATGTTTTTATGGTGCTGTGTACTCCTGACTGACAACGGACAAAGGCAGCTCGCTTCCGCTTTGTAAAATCTGTGCAGTATCGGCCTCCAGTTGACCACTATTTAATTCAGGTCTTAATTTGCAGGTTGGCGGCCTTACAAAGAAGCGGAGAAGAAAGCTGGAAGCAACGGTACCAGAAAGACAAAGACCTGAACTGCAATGTCACCATCAGACAAAAGGTACTGTAGTACGGGACGTCTTTGTGTCTCGGAGGTCTGTTCCTTGTAAACCATGGCGCGTTGATATTTTTTATTTGCAATTTATCGTTCGGCTGTGATTGCGGCTATAAATATTATCTTTTTTCAATTTTCCTTGCAATATAAAGAAGAGTGTTTGCTTGTTTCAAGGACCAGGTTTCGGTGTTGCGGTAGAGGCTTCTAAAAATTCAATTTTTCGCCCTTTGCGCTATTACCTAAGCGAAACTGACGACAGAAGTTTAGCCAGCTCGTTGCCACAAATTCCAATTAGAAAAAAGTCTGTGGCTTACAGATGATTAATAATCGACACATGGATCTCATATACACAGCTTTCATATACGTTCTACTACCTAATTACAGCGGAAATCATCTTCAATCTTGAGTAAAATAATTTCAAACTCTTACTGAGAATATCATGAAAATTAGAGGGTTTTCCGCTTATTCTGAAAGGGCTTTTCTTCACCTTCTTCCTTCTCACTTCCTACGTGACCGATGCAGGGCAGTGGCGTGGGCACGAAGGAGAGGCCGGTGAGTCTCATGGATCGCAAGTGCAAACTTGAGTCGTCGTCGCAGACCTGGAAGGCTCGAGTCACTGAGTCTGACGCCTCCAAGTTCACCGTGGCCCACAAGATTGCCATGTCGGCCTCTGCTTCGTCAGTTCCGTCCATGGCTTCATCCCCGGGCAAGGGAATGGTGCCTTTATTTCCAGGTTTTATATCATCGTCCTTGAAAAGCAAACTTTCGTCGATGGCCGCGTCATCCGCTACGGATGCACAAACGTCGCCTCCTTCTTCAGACAATTCTTCTGCTTGTCCTTCTCCAAGTACCAGTCCTCCCGCAACCCGTAACATCATCGACAGTCCTTCAAGTGAACGAAAAGTCCGCAAGACTCCACAACCCAAGGTTTTTAAAAGCAAAACGGGCAGTAATCTCCCTCAGATGGGTGGCAACATCCCCATGATTATGCCACAGGGGATCCGGCCTCCGAGAATCGACTTCAGGAGAGCTATTTCTACTCCGTCTGGACAGGAGGAAGGTTAATATCTCTCATGACCGCATAAAGTTCATCTTATATGCATCGGCAGTGCAGTGGCCGTGCGAGAATCTTTCGTGAAGCATGTTTATGTTTGTTGAACATCATCGCATATATTTTGATTACGGGGGAAAAACATATCACGTTTATTTCTGGTTGAATTAAATATCATTGCATTTGAAGCATTTGAAGAATAAAACAGGTTATTTAATCAGAATTTATAACAGAAGCAAACTATAACACTTTATATTCACCCTAAATTTGACCTCACGAGTGTTTCTGTATTGCAGACAACACGCAGGAGACCAGCGAGACCGTGGAGCTGTTCGAGGTCGCGGACGAAGAGTTCCACAAGTTCTTCGCCTCCGCGACGACCTCCTCCGTCGTGTGTCCGGGGCAAGAGTCGGACCTCAGCCTGGACCTCGCTGACCTCGACGCCATCACCAGCAACGTACAAACACTGTGCGTCTCAAGGAAATGTTTTATATATAAATATATATTTTTTTAGTATGGATGAAAACTTTGGATGAATAAAACGTTTTACATGTGCATTACAATTTCTGCCTGCCTTCATCTGTTGAGAACTTTTCATTTCTTTATTGTCCATATGAGTCTGAAAGACAACACTCTGTCTCATAGATTATTAGTTCATATGTGTTATTTTTATGATTAATTACAGGGAATTAAAACTTATTGAGGTTATCTTGAGGTGCTTTTCATAACTACGTTGACATGCAAACTATAGGAACAATATCATTTTTACGTTCGAAATGTCAGGAGGCCAATCATTCGTTTATTAATCATTTATGCTACACAAAATTTACTACATCAATTGAATGACTACAGATATCTCATTAAATCGGTAACGTGACCGTGGTTGAAAGAGTGATGGACATTAATAGCGAAGTAACTTTATTCTAATTAGCTGCTGGAGCAACTAACTTATCGGCTTGAAAACGTATCAAATTAAATTGTCTACCCAAATTAATATGTGCCGTGTATTTGTACTGATGTACTGAGAGTGTACACGGTCCTGCAGAGGAGTACAGCGACGGCGTGTACAGAAGCACACACGACATCGTGCTAGTGCGGGTAACCCTGTGCGTGCTGCTGCGTGTAAGGGACTCATGCAGTACACGCAGCTGCGCCTACACGCAGGCGAGAGGGAGCTACGCAACAACAAAGTGCAGGAGTGTGAGTTGTGCTGTGATGTGTTCTGTCTTGTGATGTGTTGATGTGTTCTGTTCTGTGATGTGTTGATGTGTTCTGTTCTGTGATGTGTTCTCTTCTGTGATGAGTTGATATCTTCTGTTTTGTGATGTGTTGATGTGTTCTATTTTATGCTTTTAATGTGTTGTGGTTTGTTGTAGTCTATCAATGTCTTGTAAAGCGTTATTATCTTTAGGGTTGCTATTGTGCTACTACGCAATTTAAAAAAACGTGTTGTAAGATTCCCGTACCAATATTTACAATATTTAACCCTATATACACTGAATTAGTGTTCAGCACCCAACGTGCAAAAAGACGCTAACCAATTTACTATCGCATAATTTTTGATACAAGTTTGCATTTAGCACCACTTTTTAGCAACAAGTTTGCATTTAGCACCACTTTTTAGCAACAACTTGGCATTACGCACCACTTTTTGCAACAAGTTGGCATTTAGCACCACTTTTTGCAACAACTTGGCATTTAGCACCACTTTTTGCAACAAGTTGGCATTTAGCACCACTTTTTAGCAACAAGTTGGCATTTCTTGCCTCTTCCCCAGTATCGAAGAACTCGACCCTGGCGGTAGAGGCCCTAGCAGGCCTGGCGTCCAAGGAGAACTTCAGCGCCGTGCAGCTGCGCCCCATGACGGTACAGGACACGCGGGAGCTGCCGCCCTACGTGCACCCCATGTTGCTGCGCGTCAAGGGGCGGCGCCGCGCTGAGGCAAGACTCATGCCCCCGCGCCCTGAGAGCGTCAACTCCGGCGATGACTTCATCCTTGTTACGCCCTCACAGGTTATTGAGACACTTGAATTATTGTAATGTAGACATTTTATTCCCGGATATAACATTTTGTGGACATGATATAGACATTTTATGATGTCTCTGTAATTTTATGATGTCTTCTAAGCAAAAGTAGACATTTTATTCCCTTTTCACCTATTCTCTACCTAAACTTCATGATAAAATAAACATGCCCCCACGCCCTGAGAGCGTCAACTCTGGCGACGACTTGATCCTTGTTACGCCCTCGCAGGTCATTGAGTCACGTACATTATTGTAATGTAGATATTTTATTTACTGACAACAATGGAATACGCTGATTAGGTATAGGTTATTTAAAGTTTTTATAAACTAAACTCTTATGAAGAGATAAAAAAAATATATAACTCGATCACAAGACGAGCATATAAGACATGACGAGCACAATAGTGCATTTTTCCATAAATGAGAAAATGCGCTAAAAATCATTGCGACGGACACAGAATTAGGTTCTTTATTGGATATATTTCATATATATGGACTAATCTAATTTCGGGTGCAGGTTTACCACTACAAGAGCGAGTTCGCGAACGTGATCGAGCGCGCGAAGGCGAGCGAGATCGCGGCGTTCATCGTCCAGCAGAAAGACCTCGGCGTGACCGCCACGTCGCCCGTCCTTGAAATTACCGAGAACGTTAAGGGCATCCGAAGAACGCGCTTCTGGGAAACCCTCGGTATTAATACCATTAATATCACGCGAATAGCGAGGATAGTAGTTTGGGTAGAACTAATATTTGGAGAGAGACACATTGAAACGAAACTTCCTAAGCTTTACCTTGTGTCGTTTGTGATATTCGTTTAGTTGTGAAATGAAAAATTATAAATTCCTCTATGTACATATCAAAAGTTGTGCTACGCAGCTTAACTGTCAACTTCAAACTTTAATTTTTTTTATTAATTGTCAACTTTAAACAAAGCTGATCTTCGTTATCAACTCTTTCCACGGCCAGGAGGCGGTAGCGAGAGCACGAGCGCAGGCCCTGACGAAGGCGGTGACGATGAGGAGGTCGAGGCGTGTCTCGCCCGCAGCAATAAGGTCTACAAGGTGGAGGGCTGCACGCTGGTGCCCCACGACCTAGCCTGGGGCAAGCCCCCCACTGTAGACCTCCTTCAGTCAGACCAGGTGGGCTGCTTTGAAATCAGATGTGTTTAACATTCTGGTGTCGTGTATAGACCACATGTTCTTATAACCTCGTACCAACTCATAGCACCCAATATCACTGCTGTTGGATTCTTGTTGTGTGAATACCAGTGGACAGACATGTTGATTTTATCTAATCTTTAAATTCATCATTTCGGTAATCTTGTATTGCTGCATCGCTTATGTGATTACCTGTGGACAGACATGTTGATTTTATCTAAGCTTCAAATTCATTATTTCGGTAATATTTTATTGCTGCATCGCAGGTTTTGGTGTTTGACTTCGGAAGCGAAGTTTACTCGTGGTCAGGCAAGCGCGCCGCTGTGGAGGAGAGACGAGCTGCCCTGGAGCTGGCCAAGGAACTCTGGGAGGAGGCGTACGATTACTCCGACTGTGACATCAACCCGGTGCTGCCTCTGCCTCATAACACCACCATGAAGGGTTAGTACATTTTCATTGTATTCGAATGCTTTATGATTTTCCCCTTCATCGTGTACAGAAAGAAACTGCCGCATTCGTGCGTGCAATTTTAGGGTTAATTTTCATTTCGTTGATATTGAGTTGGTGAGGCAAGCCTTGCTATTACCAACCCTTTGCGTCGACCTATTCATGGTAAAATGTAAAGAATTGCAATAATTTCACATGATTTTTTCTTCGATGTGAACGCACTCTTCACGTAAGCGATGTCCATATTTCAGCGACAGGACGACACCGCGTAGCCGACGTCAATAATAACTCAGTGAACGAACGTTTCTCCAAATAACTAAATGAACGTTTCTCCCACAGGACCAAGGCCGCCATGGGGCATTTTAGGCAAGATAACCGAGAACCTGGAGACTGTGCTCTTCAAGGAGCGCTTCATTGACTGGCCCGACACTGCCCAGCAGACTCGTATTAAGGTTAGCAATTAGCAGGCTCATCTTCCCTGCTAAGTAGTTAGCTGTAGGCTCACATGTTAAATATCCTGTGATGTAATTAAATAGTGGTAAACATGACGAAAAAGCTCTGTGTTCTGCATTACAAATTTCGGTAAAAATTTGGCGGACTTGCCTGTTTTTTTTTTTTTAATTTTTGTCAGGATAATATTGGTCATTTATGAAATAATAAAAGCTGATACCGATTGCAAACAAACAAGTGGAGGGAATCTCCCAAACTTTGTGTGCGTTGCAGGGCAAACGGGTATATTTACATCGTCCTGATAACTTTTGTACCGTAACCGTAATAACCTATGCACCTCAATCTTAATAACTTGTGCATCTTAATCTTAATAATTTGTGCCCCGTAGTTGTAATAACTTGCGCACCGTAACCGTAATAACCTGTGCTCCAAAACCATAATAATATGTGTTCTCACTGTAACTACAATAAGCTGTGCACCGTAACCGTAATTGGTAACTTTGACCGCCAGGAGGTGAAGGAAGAGCTCCGGCGCAGGCCAGAGCCGGTGTGTCTGCTGCAGCCCTGCTCTGGCGACGACCTGCAGAGCAACGTGCCTGCAGAGCCTGACCTCCTGCTGGAGATGTCGCACCTCGGCAGAGGCACTGAGTACTACGACGCCCAGGTGCGCTCACCTCCTCTGCAGTGCTGAGTACTACTGCTCACTGAGAACCTGTGCTGCCAGTAGATCATGTGCACTGAGAACCTGTGCTGCCAGTAGATTATTTGCACTGAGAACCTGTGCTGCCAGTAGATTATGTGCACTGAGAACCTGTACTGCCAGTAGACTATGTGCACTGAGAACCTGTACTGCGACAGCTCATTATGTACCGAGAACCTGTATTGCAGTAGACTTAATGCAGTTAAGACCTGCAATGCGACAGCTTATTTGCACTGAGAACCTGTATTGCAGTATCTTTAGTACAGTTAAGACCTTCACTTACTATTTAGCATATTATTGGTGACGTCAATACTGAGCAGAATAAAGCAGCGTTTCGCAAGCTGTGTCGTGCATCGAAATTATCACGCTAGGTCTGGAGAAGGCGCTTGGCATAATGTAGCTCTGTATGTCTCCTTTTTAGTATTTTAAGTATCGAGAAAATTATAAAAATTTGTTGGATTTTAATTCAGCGTGATTTATTATTATTTAGGTGCTTTTTGCTTGTCTGAAAATTTAGCCTATAGGATTTTGTGAGAATTTTGGACTGAATGGACATCTTCTGAAACTGCCACCCTTCCTTGGACTTACTTTGATCTTGCGGTCTCTGATCCAATGACCTCTGATCTCTTATCGCCGCCTGATAATGTAGAGGTAACGCAACCCAAGATAAAAAATACTTATTGCAAATGATATCCAGCGCGGTATTAAGACTAGCTTGGAATTAGGTCTCCCTAAGCCATGGTCGGGGAGTTCTCTCGAGGAGGCCGTCCTCCGTCAGTGCGTGGCTGTGAAACCGTCGTCCCGGCTGTGTATGCCGCACAACTCCAGTTGTGGATTATTTATGAAATCTGGGGATTTAACCACCGATGTTTTTGACCAATATACGCTGTAAATCATCTATTACATGTAATCTTTCAGTCTGTTGTCTTCATCTTTCATTCGATAGCAGCTCAACGAAGTTTAGTACGAGCTCGGTGATGGTCAGGTCGTGAGTTTACGAAGGCTGTTCATTTTGATGTTCTCTTCTGTGAACGCGCCTTGTGTTCATGGTTGTAGAACTCTTGAATTAGCATAGCGTGTTGATCTCGTAATTATTTTGCCCAGCTTCAAAACTAACGTGATGCGAGCAACGGTTATGACTTCATATACCATCCCGATGTAAACGCTAGTTGTTTTTTTTTTTCAAGGATGTACGGAACCCCCGTCTCGTTGAGAGGCTGTCCTAATTTACTCTTGAGATTTGATTCGCGCGGTGTACTTTTTTAGTCCACTTCCATAAATCTGGAGTACTTCTTTACGCTTTTCCATTTTGGATTTTCATGCACTGCAGGATTCCTAGACGTTAGAAAATATGATAATTGCTGGCGATGGGGTTTCTATTTCCAATTTAAATCCTGCGAGGAATAAACTGAAAACACCATCAGAGAAAAGTCCAAACGTAAGTTAATAGAGCAAATTGATGGACGTGCCAAATCAATGCAAGTCAGGCGTGGATTTTTGCAGTGAAATCCAGTGTGCCAATATGGATTACTAGTTCACTGCAGGCACGTGACAGATTGTATGTACTCGTGCACATTAATGGTATCGCAACAACGAAGAGTTTTGGCTGCAGGTTCACTGCCAGTGCTCAAATAATAGTGATGCAATGAATGGTGAAGCCGGCGGTGCTTGTGTCACATCATGACTGTAAGACACTGCACTCTTTGCCCACCATAAAAAAGCTTCTTGCCCTGAAATTTTTTTGCGTTGGCGTAGCGCAATTTTTCTGAGCTGTAGACATGCTGACCAACGTAGATGCTCTGATAGCCATAAAACTTCGAAACTGTAAAACCTATGCAGTGTATCTGGCTGAAGGTTTTTAGCTATCATTTCTTCTCCAGTCTACACGGATCACGGCAAAATTTAATTACTTAGTGTTTTCTTAACTTGTATTTGTAATTACTATTGCTTCTAGAATCATTTTACATGGACTCCGAAACAGGACTGCTGGGCACTGTATTGCCCTCAGCATGGCCATATCTGCCGTCAGTTATGTGACTTACTTTGCCTTATTGGATAGCTTGATGTTCGTAGCGATGTTTAGTGCCGCTCAGTGTTGTGATACTTATACAGTTACGAGTACTTTTATTCAGATATTGATTGTGTACTTCGAGGATAGTAAATGTTACTTACATGTTACGTTCATAAGAAAGTTTATCAATTTGAAAAGATTCTCTTGTTCTTGGGTGCAACGTCTCGTCTAATTATGCTAAAAATTATTTATCTTGTAACTTTTTTAAGTGGAAACTACAGTGTAGAACTCACAGTGTGGGACGCGTTTTGTATAGAACTCACAGTATATAACGAGCTGCGTGGAATACGCAGTGTAGAACGAGCAGTGTAGAATGCTGTAATTTTTTAGTCCCGTTCGGTTGCGGGAGGTCCAGGTTACCTGCTTGTATTTATTTACATGAAGCGCCGGGCCAGTAAACGTGCTTGCACGAGTCTCTTTATTTGCCTTCCAACTAAAAAGATCGTTCACATACCAGCGCACGTGATCGCAGCGTCAGACAGAAGCACTCACTGTAATAAATGCAATGTACGGGATGGTTATCTCACAGAAAACTTCATCGTTCACTCCTGCGTACATAACTTGACCATGAAGCTAAGAAGGAATCTCATGTAACCCATCATTTGCCAGTCAGTAGTGGCTTTAGAGTCGCATTCCCTAGATCGTAGCTTTATGCATGCAACCTGCATTAATTGTTTTAACTTTGTCATGCCGCTCCTATGTGCAAACTCCTGCCAGCACATTCACGCTGCTACGATTTCAGGCATCATTTTCTTTCATATACATATATTTTTTAAGTAATACCATTTTAAGTTGAAATTTATCTACTATTTGATTTGTTTTTATCTCGCTGCTTGGCCAGACGTTCGTCATGAGCCTTGTTTTAGCGATATATTGCTTATATTTTGTAGAAAATATATATTTTTGCGCCTTACATTCTTTCGCCGTAACCTGATTTTGGTGCATTATTTTTAGTCGATTTATTATGATTTTTTACCTTTTGATTACGCCGCTGATAACATTTGTTTTTTTTCTCCCATCATCGTGTCGTCTCACGTACACACAATCACTCGCCATCACTACGCGTCCATACCATAACTCAACTTAACTTATATTTCAGCAAACTACATTTCATATTATTCTCCCTCTTAATTCAATGGCTCGCTAATTTGCCTGATATCTTGGCTGCGCCCTACTGTATTCCTTGCAACCATTCAACAAAACTCAATTGATCCCTTGGTGCATGCAACACGCATCGCCTCCATGCATCGTGTATTTAATATCCCTCTGCATCACGTCACTCTCATCCAAATCCCACACTACACTCACGCTATATTCTTGCTCACACTACTCTCAATACTACACCCAACACCACAATCAAGACGCCCACATCACACTGTGCCACGAGTCACTCTCGTCCAAATACGACACTCGTGCTATATTCTTGCTCACACTACTCTCAATACAACACCCAACACCACAATCACGACGCCCACATCTGTGCCACGACACTTGGCACGGCAGGAGCGTCGGTTGTTGGTGGTGACCACGAAGGACTACCGCGTGTGGCACATTTCAGAGGCGGGCAAGACGTCCCTACCGACCTCCTCGCGCTGCCACTTCCACGCCGCCGACACCTACGTCGTCAGGTGGTATTACCAGGTCAACGCTACTGGCAGGACGCTCAAGGTGAGCACTATGTTACAATTATTTATACATCTATTTATTCAGCTCTTGCTTCACGGATATTAATTTAAGCAGAGATAGAATTTGAATTGTTTACATTTAACGATTTTTATATATGGACGCGGCATCTCTTGTCCAGAGTCGAGGTCGAGTATTTGAGAACACCAGTTAAGATGCTGCTTGTAACGCCTCTGTTCTCAGAAATGTAGTATGAAATATTATCAAAATCTTATACGGATTTTAGTTATCACGTGAATCAATTTTTTGTTTTATCTAAGCGACAGACAGTTCATTTTATATGGTGGGTGACACGAGGATCAGAATTTATTCGATTATCTATAACACGTAAATATTTATTACATGATTTCGTTGATACGACAGGGTGCCCCCAGCAAGCACGCGGTCACAGGCAGGTCCCGAGTGGCTTACTTCTTCTGGCAAGGCCGCCAGAGTTCCCTCTCCGACAAGGGCGCCTCTGCCCTCATGACCGTCGAACTGGACGAGGAGAGAGGCCCTCACGTCCGTGTCCCTATGGGGGCTGAACCTCCTGCTTTCCTCAACTTGTTCTCCGGGGCTCTGGTGATCCATAGCGGCAGTCGCGGTGGGACTAAGGACGGACAAGAGGGCATGGGCACGTGGAGGATGTTTCTGGTGCGCGGCGAGAAAGAAAATGAAGCGCATTTGCTTGAAGTTGCCGTTGACAGGACGCTGCTTAGGTCACGCGGGTGCCTGCTGCTCGTAGACCTCGAGAAGTGCGTCGTGTATCTATGGAGCGGCTGTAAGGCGCTGCGTCATACGCGTCAGGTGCGTTATTTAGTTTTACGCCATAGTGAATTGCACTGTTCGTTCACAATTTTTGCAGTATTTGTTTGCGTGTCTTATTTGCGAGATGGAAATAGAATTTATTTGTGACAAAAATGAACTAATTCATTGTTGCAACTCAAGTGCTCGTGCTTTGTGTACCTGAACTTACAGATAACTGATGGGGCCTCTCTTCCTTACGAAGCCTCAACATTGTAGAACTTTATCTATCATGAAATACATAAGCGAAGCCGTGGTTACTCATAATTGAAATTTGTTACCTATAGTTAGTTATTGAACTAATTTTTCTTAATTACGTCAAATTTATGTAAAAATAAAGTCAAATTAAAAATTGAATGTTCGCCACGATAGAGAAAGCAATGAACGTTTTCCGTTGAAAATTAACGCACATATGTTCGCCATTAAAAACGAAACCCTTGACGTTTGCCATCAAAAAAGCCAATGACGTTGACTATTAAAGAAGAAGCCATTACCGTTCAGTCGTTTCTTTTTGAAAATGAAGCTCGAAGTTCAAAATCAAAAATAAATCCATTGACAGATCGCAAGCACGACGGCCAAGCACCTGGCGGAGAGTACAGCAGCGGACGCTGGCTGGGACCCGTCGAGCATTCCTACGGTGAAGGAGCAGTACGAAGGCGCTGAGTGCCGCGAGTTTTGGGAGGGCATGAAACTTGGGGAGGCTGCTAATCCCCAACCCGCTGCTGTACTGTCTTTGTACTCAGAAGTTCTGAACCACAGCCTGGAGAAAGTCGGATCTCACTCCAAGCACTTCAAACACATGTCGTTGCTGGGAGATACGACCAATTCATACGAATGGACGATGCGTATTTGGCGCCTGCAAGCCAAACACGATCACTTCGAAGCCAACGAGATCACATCGACGTACCGACTGCCTGACGTGACTAACCCATTGCCTTTCAACCAAGACGACCTCTATGCCGCCCACATTCAACCTGGTGAGCCACCCTTCTTCTTCACATTAGGAATTTACAACTAAGTCATCGCTTTTTATCGCTATATTGAATATTTTAATTTTCTTGACCTTGCCCTCACTATCGCTGTGCGTGCGGTTCCGGAAAGCACCTTCGCTCCATAGCACAAATCAGTCGATGTTCTTGAACTGTGCAATTGCCATTTATAATGTGTCAAAAATATTTGTGGTGCAGTCATATATTATTTTTATTAGAAAGTTAAAACCTACAGAAAAGAGTTTTTCGACTTTAAACCATTTATCAGCCGTAGCGTTAATTATAATTCGCGTTTATTAAGTAGTATTGCTCTAGACTCACGGGTTTACTGCCACAGCACTGTTCCTCGTGGACGCTGGAGGTCGAGTGTGGCTTTGGCAAGGCTGGTGGCCCGCTGAGGGCCAAGACGTCGTCAACGGTGACTCTCACAACACCGACAACAACAAAAACGTCACCAACGCCGACGACGAGAGTGAGCTCGACACCCGCAACAACAACACCAACGGGTTCAGCAACACGACAGGTTCAGCGGCGCTGAGGTTCAACTTCGCGCGCAAGGCTGCGCTGCAGACAGCGCTTAATTACGCTCAGTCGCTCGGCGACGCTTGCAAGGTATGGTTGCATCATTTACTCCTTTTTATATTTAATATAAGTTATTAATATGTTCTTGATATCTTGTATCCCTAAGTCCTTCTCACGGAAATACTTACGCTGCGTAAATGATGCTAATTCTAATGACAAAAATATTCATAGGTTGCAAAAATATGTGAGTTGCATGCATCATAGAATTAGCGAGTGTAAAAAGTAGAAAGACATATTTTCCGCTATTGCGCTGGCTTGTTTTCAATCAAAATTGATTTGTTTGATGTAAAACTTGATGACATCTTTGGCCCCCGCGCAGGGTCCGCCGTCCCTCATCCTGGGAGGTCTGGAGCCGCTCGCATTCATTAATTTGTTCGCGCTGTGGCACTGCCGCCCCGACGTCGCTGCCGCTCAGAGGAAGGTTAGAACTATCACACTACTGTGCGCGAATTGTATTTATTCTTTTATCTATTCAGAATCATTTTTCTGTTGAATGCTTTTTCTTCATAGACTGCTATCTACAAGTCGCTACGAATTCGTGTCTGTCGTCTCAAGATAATGGATTTCTAACAAGATACATAGGACATCACATATAAGTTTTACGGTCCTTAGATACCTCAATGACACCCGCCGAGAAAAGCTAACTTACCGGTTTGACAGCTCGTAAATTATTTCATTTTCATTGTAGCGGTCAGAATATTCCGTAACCATTCTGTCGATGCGTGAAAAAATCTTAAACGACATTTGCGACGTTCACTCTCACTGTCAAGCCCTCACATGCTGCTCGTCCTGTACTGGAATGCCAATGCCTTCCAGTGTACACATGAAACATGAAGTTGGCTCACATTCAACATGCTAGCTACAGCTCTGGGCCTATACTTTCAAAAAAGTTAAGAGATCGTAAGTTCATCAGCCAATCATTGACGGGCTTTCAAGCAAATTCCACCAATCATAGACAAGAAAATAGAGCGTGAGTACTTACGTTCACTTAGCGAGTTTTGAAAGTACGGCCCCTGGTGACGGTGAGCAAGTGCGGGTTGTGATCATGAGCAACGCTGCCTTCATGGCGAATCGGCCTTCTTTTTGACGCGGTCCTCCTGACATGAGAGCGCCCAGACAACTGCAACCCCCGCCGATGTCTCAGAAAATCATCAATCAAACGTCGAAGCTCAGAGAGTTGTCGTGGTTGCCAGGATCGCCTGCGACCTGGAGTGCCAGTGGCGGTGTGAGAATCCGTATTGGGGAGTAGGGGATTCATACTTTCTCTCCTGTAAGGATACTCGCATTGCTGCTGGTCACGTCATCTGATAATCTCGCCGTCCACAGCATTGAGGAAAGAAGAGTTTTGGAAAGTGATAATCGACTTGACGACTGCAAAGGATTGAATGAACATGAACTCCATGAACAGCAGTGGAACTGTGACGTATAAACGTGAGATCTTTCAAGAACGGCACGAGCTTTAGAGAAAAAATAATTTAGACATCCAACTCGTGATGGATCTCACAGACGTATTCTCACGAACCCCATTTCTCTTACGTACACCAAGTGTACGTATATTAAGCCTATGATTAGCCCACGTATGCTAAGCTTACGAAATATGTCTGTCCACTCACGCGTGATCAACGATCGGACACAAGCACGCACCTATCACGAGTGAAATCGCTACCAGCTGGTACGTCCATCGGTAACGAAATTCATTTATGTATACCGGCAAGAATTATTACAAATTAATTATTTGGTTCGTAACGTGAACTCATTGTCGGTTTAATGCATATTTCATGGGCAGGCGCCATCTAACGGTCTCGCGTACGGTAGTTCTCGTATTTGCTCCACTTGACTAATAATTTAATCATAATATATTCTTGTAAGTCTCTGATGCCTGACGAATCCGTTAAACCTTTGCCAATGGTGTAACGTATGAAATACGCTGACTAATAACCTAACGCGCCAGTTGCACCGTGACAAATGACCTAACGCATTAGCTACACCATGACCAATAACCTAAAGTGTAAGTTACATCCTAACCAATGACAATGCTTAAGTTACACCATGACTAATGACTTATCGTGTAAGTTACACCTTGGCCAATAACCTAACGCGTAATTACACCTGATCAATGACATAACGCGTAAATTACACCCTGACCAATGACCTAACGCGTTTGTCACACCCTGACTAATGACTTATCGTGTAAGTTACACCTTGGCCAATGACCTAACGCGTAAATTATACCCTGAGTATTGACCTAACGTACCAGCTGTACCATGACCTGCGCTCGTGACCCTGTACTGCCATGTCCCTCAGAGCGGCCGCTACACCGAGGTGCGGGAGTACCCTGTGGAGGAGGTGTTGGCGTCGCTGTCGCGCTCGCACTACAGCGTCCAGGAGCTCAGCGCGCTGCCTGCTCCTGAAGGCGTGGATCCGTCACGTCTCGAGGACTACCTCACCGACGACGACTTCGTCAAAGTCATGGGCAAAACCAGAGAAGAGTTCGCGGGATTACCCCAATGGAAACAACTCGACTTAAAGAAGAAAGCCAAATTGTTCTAGGGAAAGTCATTGATTCGCGTAGAAAAGTGTGTCAATTCGAAGTAATTTTCATCTCTTTAATGATTGATTCCTTTTGTTTGGCCATTGATTATGTGTTTACGAGATGACAGTTGTAGTGTGTTTGAAGCTAGTGTGCTCACCCACAACAAAGTGTTCCGGGTGACAATACAAGTCTCCTGAGATCCTATTTATGTAATAAACAAACTTCAAGATGATGAGCATTGAAAGAAAAAGTATTTCCTATCAAATACTGGTAATTAAATGCCATTTTTGTGGATGAATGATTTTTAGCGTCAGCGCTAATTGGAATGATTGCCTGACACTTGATAATTGAATGGCTGAAACTAAATAGAACGCATTATTTTGATAATTTTAACATCTGTACAAGATTTAAAGCCTAGGTAAGGAGGAACACATCGCCATATTAACGTTTCGCTCAAGAACCAAACCTTCTTACCACTCTAGTGTATTGGTAATCTAATACTGGCATAGTTGTCATTTTTGTATATTGATTATCTAATAACATTGTACATTGTTTTATTAATGTGATCGTTAATGCGATTGTGCGAGATAGTTAAGTGCCCAGCACGCATTCTTCTGCACTGCATTGCTAAGTCGATAAAATGTCTCTATTCCTGGAAGATACTAATGGTTTTCACGAGTTTTATGGATTAATACCGACGATATTTGCGACTTGTGCAGTAGATCATCATAGGTTTCTTAGATCTTTTTATACCGTTTTGTCTGTTAAGCCGCTGGTGTTGACCACTCCACAATGCTGCAAATTTTAATGTGATCTTTGCAATTGACACGTACAGCAAAGATGCAAGATGTGGTAGGTTTTTATGTCCCGAAAATAATAAAAAACTATGACTTTATTGATCCCTTCCTATTAACTAAGACGAGTTGGGCTCGCGACCGTTTCGTGAATACATAACTCAAGGCTCGGACACATGCGGCCCGACAAGATTATAAAGGAAAGCCTCTGCTCACATGTCCGGAATACATTTAAAAGTTTACAGTATATTCTAGAAGTTTCCAAAACCTTCTAGGAAGTTCTAGAACCTTCTAGAAGTTTCCAGAGCCTTCTAGAAAGTTCTAGAAGTTTCCAGGGCCTTCTAGAAATTTTCGGCCAGGTTGCGCTGGAAGATCTAGATTCTTCAATCAATTCTAGTAGGTTTGGGCTCTTATTAACAAAGATTTTTCTCGAGTTATGAGCTTTGAATTGGTAGGAAAATTAGTATACGTAGAGCAGCTCCACTTCAACCGCCCCATGTACGTCGTCATGCAGGTCTCAACAAGCAACACAGACGTTGAGGTTGTTCCAGAGTCTTGTAGGTCTTTTATATAAGATTCATGGAGTTGCTGCCTGTGCAGTTACATCGACGTTCGGCTACCAAAATGATAATCGTAAATACTTTGTTGAATATTCAGGGAGGAAGAAGTCGCACGTATCGGAAACAAAACGAACTAATTAAGAGTACAAGGTAAAACGCCAAAATTTAATAAAAAGATCTCATTCGCTATTATGACTTTCTTACGCGCGGGACTTCAGTATGAATTTGTCAATCCCATTAATCCTCTCTTGATGGATGAACCTCTTGATATACCGGGCCTCGGATTTCCGCAGTAGGTACCTCTTAATATTGATATAATATGAAATAGATTAGGAACATTCAGCAACAAACAGTCCTACTGCCTGATAAACGCTGAAACCGATTTATTATCATATGCATCCAGAAATATCTTTAGTGGGTCTGCCAAATGTTTCCACCTATGTTCACTGGACATCGCAACTTGGACCAACGCAATGTCGAGAAAATCCATCCGACGTTTTACATCCCTTTGAATCAGTGGAGAATCCGTGTTGGGAAGTAAAAAAGTACTTTCATTAAATATTATATTGCAATGACCAAATTGGGCGCATAAACATTAATACGAGTAACATATATCATACAATACTGCAACAAAATGACTGGAAGACTTCGAAGTAAAAGCTATCATAAACGTTAGAAGACATTCATCCCTAACAAATAAACGAAACATTAACCAAGTGAGCAAAACAGGCGCTGCATTGTACGCCAAACGCATCCAATAAAATCTGCATTGAAATTAACGCCACTTGTTACTTATTCGCCTGGGAATACACGACGACATCTTTCATAGTGACAGTTTTCCTTTTCTCTCTCTTATCGTCCTTATCAGTCCGAGATGTCGCCCCCTCGCCTGCAGCGTCCATTGCGGCCGCCGTACGGCGCAGCTCCTCTACCATCGAGCCTGAGATCGCCAGCAGGCGGTAGCGCTGCCGCAGGTTGCGGGCGCGCACGTGGGCGCTGGCGATCTCCTTGCAGTAGGTGCCAGGGAACCAGCCGCGCTCGCCGTCCCGTAGTCGCTCCCCCTGGTACCAACCTGCACCAAGAGCATCTAGTGTCAATGCACGCTGGGACCATTCGGTATTCAATGTAAATTCAATGTGATACATTCTGAATATTTGAGTTCAAGTCTTGAATTTTGTTAGTAATCTTAAACTTACGCTATATAATAGGAAACGCATCAATCGGAATCTAAAATCTTAGATCATCGTTACAATGGTGGTGCAATACGTTTGATTATTCTGCCTGACAAGGCCTCCTAAATATCTAGCATAACTTAGAATGATTTTTATGCATATTTCAGGTCTCCTTAATCTTAACGATTTCACTGCAATTGACGCGCTAACCTTTACGATCAGCGGTTACTTGTTAGGTCGCCGAATTAAATCGAATACGCCGTACTTAAACGAGCTCGCGGAAAGTACATCAAGCAACCTTAACAGTAATTTTTGCAGCCACCTTGAGTTATCCGAACATGTAGCTAATAGCTAAAGAATCTGGGATAATTGAGTACGGTGTACGTTCAGACAAGGTAATCGTGAAAGTATCAACGTTATAATTTGTCAATCAACGGTTTTTATGTTAATAGTCAGCATCATAAAAGTACGAGTTACTACTTCAGTGAAGGCAGCATGCTAATTAGCACAACCTTGCAGCCAGCAATTGGGGAACGGAGTTGCTGATCCAAGAATTGGCACAAATGTACTGCGAAAGAAAAGGCATCGCTAGACAGCCGTAAAGGATTGTGCGAACAAGAAAAACGTGAATAAAATGTGCGTCCCGAAAACTTTTGAATTAAAAAGTAGTGAAACGCCGTAGATTGGGAAATATTAATTGAATCAGTAGAAGAGTTGAATCCTTGATAAAGGACGTTAAAATCATAATTTCGCCAGTAATGAATCTCGGGTCGGAATTTCAGATACAAGGTCGACTTACGAGTTCAGCAACATTGCTTCATTTTTTCGTTACTAATTACGAAAGGATGTTATGTGGCATCATCCAGTATTGCCTGAGCTCATGAAATCTAAGCAAATTAGACTGACACTTCATCGAAACTGAACGGGTCTCTTTATAAAATTCATCAGGTTGGTCACTATCAGCAAATAGCAGAATGGTCAACTAGATATTTAAAATGTATACTACTTCATTTCTTGAGTTGCGCCAGCATTCAATCCAATATCGCGTTTATTGTGATAGCGATACCTAATTGTGATATAGCCTAGCAAATAATTCTAAAGATCATTAGAGGCATGGCGAGGAGGAGAGTCTGAATATTGTTGGCAAGAAAAAAATGTCCTCTGTAGAGTTGGTTGCTGTGCTGCCAAGACAGGGAAGGTTAGCAACGGTGCTGCAAGGACAGAGAAGAGTTAGCCGCTGTGCTGCAAGGACAGAGAAGAGTTAGCCGCTGTGCTGCAAGGACAGAGAAGAGTTAGCCGCTGTGCTGCAAGGGCAGAGAAGGGTTAGCCGCTGTGCTGCAAGGGCAGAGAAGGGTTAGCAACTGGGCTGTCAGAAGATAAAAAAAGTTTCCATGCATGGCATAGGCCAAAAATTTCACAGCCGTCATGGACCCTTCAGCAGACCACAAGTACACACCCACTTACTAAGCGTTAACTCCTCCCCTGGCCGTCAGTAGCGGGTTGATGTAGAGTCCTGGTACTGTTGTTATCAGTGTTAGTACCATTACTATCAATGTTAGTTATCTTATTATCAAAATTAGAACTGTTCTTGTTAATTTTGATATCAATGTCCGGTTTTGAATACTGCGAAACCAAATGTAAACCACTCTTATAGTTGCGACGTCATTAGAATTTACTATGTGAACACTATAAAGTTAATAATCTTAATAACACGTTTAAATTAAAGTTAGAATTGAAAAGTCAAGGCCCTTTATAGGGTCACAAGTTTCACAGAATCGAGTCACGAAATTGGCTCGCAGCTCAAAATTTAATTTTATTCGCCAATTGAATAAGATATTATTAACTCCAAAATTTGTTTTACTCGATGAGGTTTAAAAAAGTGTGTGCAATCTTCATGCTTGCAACCAAAAATGTTTCAGTCAGAATTCATTTTGTCTTTAGTAAGGTCAAAGCAAATTTAATTGAATATGAAGCAGTGATGCACATATGAAAAATACATAAAATCAAACTTCAAACAACATTTGTCATGGTGTTAGTTAGCAGCGACAAGCACAAGCGCTAAAGCATGCCATATGGCGCACAGAACAGCGAAATCTTGTACTCCGGTACAACTGAAAACATTGAGCTCTGCACCGTCAATGTAATAATTGAAGCAAAAGTGAAAACTGTGAATGATGCCTCTGAAAGATGAGGGGTGCTACTGTTTATAGCACTTCGTGGTGTCCTAGTTTCTATTACAATTCGTACTGAGTGACTCAACCAAGGCCACCAACAATTATATGCTTGGACTAGATTTCGGTGCAACATGATCGGTGTTCTGCATGCCAGAGGCCTACGGGTTAACATACTAAAAGCTATATTTTATAGCATTCAAAATTTAAAGAAAGCATTCACATACTTAATTACCAAACAACCATTATTCGCTAGTTATTAGTTCCGATAAACTCAATTCGATTAATTAAGCTTTAACGTGTTACACTAAGTTAAGGAATGATATTTTCATCACGTATCAAAGTTCACTCGAGTTTATTAACTTACAATATCTCTTTCAGTAACAAAGGTAGTAGTGCGAGCAACAAATCAATAATGAAATATGTATTCATAAAGAGCCAACTGAACAAGTAAGCCTCACCATCAGCCATCTTCTTCAACACGTTCACCACGTCGGACACTTCCAGGCTGAGCTCGTCTGGCTGACTTCCGACATAGGCATGGGAAGCTTGGACCTGCAGAAAACATCATAAATGTTTATTATTATAATGGTAGTATATAAGAGATATGAAATAGCTCTCTGACCAAAATATGAGGGAAACAAAAGCTATCCTAATGCCAGAAACTGCTTCGAGTTTCATAATTTCGTGAATTTTTTAGAACTCATGATTTGTGAATCGTAAGTGTTCGTCTTTACAGAGGGCAGATCGCACCATAAAAAGTCACTGATCAATACGAACTATGAGTCTTCTTTGACATTAATTTATTAATCTAATGAATCATAAGTCAACACAAGTACTCATTTTGTGAAGAATTGAACAGATTGACATCAGACCTGCGGGCAGTCCCACTCCTCATAGATTTGCTCGTCTGGGTTGTCGGAGGTGCGAGGAGTGACCGCTTCTACCCACCGCGTGCGCTCGCTCTCTAGCGCGCAGGAGAGAACCTGCAAACAAAACAGTTCATTGCCACCATGCATATGAAATCTAGCAAAGGGAGTTCTACCAAATAAATATTACGAACGAGAATAGCATTCAGAATATCAAAACAAATTCATAATGTAAAGACATAATGCTGGGAAAAAGTCACATAACTCACCATTTCAACGGTTTTATTCTCATGGTTCTGGAGCATGGTGACGATTAACAGATTTTTGTGTCCTTCGAGCCATCGCCCAGGCGGCTTGTCACTGTTTTCCAGCTCCAGCACCTGCACCATGTTGCGAGGACAGTGATCCAGCACAGTGTAGCTGTCTTCACTGTAAGCACCGTCAAAATAATCAGAATGCGGTAGTTATTGATACAATGAATAACAAATAGCGTTGAGTGTAAAAATGACAACAGAAAATCTGGTGCTACAGGTCGGTAGTAGATATCTTGGTAATGCGCCTCGTTCATGAAATTGCTTCAGTAAAACATATTAAAACTGAGAACAAGCAAATATTGAATCGCAAATTTCTAAATTTCATTTATTTCCCCACCTTTTCCGCTTGGTAACCACCAAAAGATCAGTGAATAGGAAGAAGTAGAGCGTGTGTTTGGAAATCCTCTTGCCAAAGGTGAGTTTGGCGTCGAGATCTCGCAGAGTAAGTCTCGTCAGTTCGCCCTTCTTGACGAGCCACCGCGACGCTGAGATCAAAGGCACGGCGCGCACCTCCCGGAAGTCCAGCTGCCGCGAGATGATCAGCATCTCCTCCATGCGCTCCATCTTACGGGCGCCTTCGTTGCATTCGGTCACGATCTGCCCACGACCTCGTTTACAGTGAATAAAGAAACAGGGGCAATGCACCAAGCACCTCGTTGAAGCCAAGTGTCTCATTGAGGCTATGTACCTCAAGGAGGCCACGTACCTATTGGAGACCACGTACCTCGTTGAAGCCAAGTACTCCGTTGCGTCTAACTAAGCGCTAAAACAAAGTACCTCGTTGAAGCCGAGTACCTCGTTGAAGCCAAATACGGTCAAGGAAAAGAATGGGTGATATTATCCAAATAGTGACTCACTTCCTGCAAGTAGCACTGATACGCCCTTTTATTGGGGCAAACTGGGTCAGGATGGCCCACACTAGTGAAAAAGTGGATCGCTATTTGGACAGTCTCGTTCATTTATCTGAGTGTACCCCGTTGAAGGCAAGTACCCGTAAAGGCTAAAAACCCGAAAAGGCCAAATACCCAAAAAGGCCAAATAACCGTAAAGGCCCAATGTCCATAAAGGCCAAGTACCCATAAAGGTCTAGTACCCATAAAGGCCAAATACCCATAAAAGCCAAGTACCCATAAAGGCCAAGTACCCATAAAGGCCAAGTACCCATAAAGGCCAAGTACCCATAAAGGCCAAATACCCAAAAAGGCCAAGTATCCATAAAGGCCAAGTACCCATAAAGGCCAAATACCCATAAAGGCCAAGTACCCATAAAGGCCAAGTACTGAAAAAGGCTAAGTACCCATAAAGGCCAAATACCCAAAAAGGCCAAGTACCCGAGATGCCAAGTACCCAAAAATGCCCCAAGTACCCAAAAATGCCAAAGTACCCGAGAGGCCCAAGTACCTTGTTAAGTGTGGCGAGCGCAAGGTTGCACTCATGCCAGTGCGGAGAGCCTTGCTCCAGTCTGTGGAAGATGGCATCGAGCAGCAGCGGCAGTCGAGTGATGCGCTGCATAGGCAACATCAGGAAGGAGTGCATCGCGAGGCTCTGGCACTTGGGGGAAGACTCGAGGTCGGTGAGCACCTCCAGGAAGCGGGGGTTGTTCTCCCTGGTACAAAAAACAAAACGGACTTAGATTTTCAATTTCACGTACTGATTTTAAACGGTATCTTATTAAAAAATGCTTCTTATTCTCATTCTAAAGATAAAGTGAATGACAATGAAATGGATAACAGCCAGCGCTGTGATCATCTGGCAATATCACAGAAAATGTCACTTTTCACGGCAATGCGGAGCTTTGAAAACCAGGAAGGTTCACGTTATATACTGGTGCGGCCATAAGCTCCATATTTGTGCCAAGAATTGTCGCTACCATTGACCGATTCCTGCACCCAAGCATGCATCCTTTCAGCGTACCCTATAGTAACCTCATAAACATCCCTACAATTGTTCAAGTTTTCCCGGGACCTACTTGAGCGTCTTAAGCATGCGGTCCTGGTATATTTGGTTGCTGCAGTACTTCACGTAGACCCCGAAGGTGGAACCAGCGTGTTTGAGGACAATGTCCGCTATGGTGCTGATCATCGCCGACTCTTGCCAGCGTTTTTCCAGGTCAGCGAGGAAGGCTTCTGAGCAACGCTTTACTGCAGGAGAAAAAACGTGTTTAATACAGCGTAGTACATGTAACAGAGTTTCATTTATCGTCCTTCATAGCATGGCAGGAAAAAATTGTTCGAAAGACGTTTGCAGGGAAATTAAACAGATTTATAAATTGAATCATATTTGTTAATTCATGCTTGGATAAACGTGGTTTTAGTTTTAGTTGATACATCTGAGTGCAAAAAATATATAAAAAAAAAAATTGGACGCAACATGCGACGAATTCCATTTGATTAATTGCAACTTGTGATAAAAATTATTGCATCCATCTGTAGGAGGATAAAGAGAAGGATACACACCTGGTAGGATATCAGAGAAGAGAATATTTTTCTCTCGCTTCGAGATGACAGCCTCTGAAGCGAAGGCTGGACAGTTCAGGAAGTGCGACACCAACACATCCAGGCTCTTCAGATACGAAGCTTCTGAAGTGATCACCTCAAACATCGCCTCCTGAACCTTCCTCTGTCCGCTCGTCAACGTGTCTACAAACACAATCATAATCTAAACGCGACACGTATTAACGTTACCAGGATTCCTCAAAGAAATCGTTAAAAATAAATGAGATTCAAACTCCAAGCGATGAAATTAATTTAATACCAAATGTTCAAACATATGTCAATCAAAGCACTACGTCTACTGCAGTGATCTATTTGCTCGATGCAAGAGGTTTGCACGAGGCGCTTACTGAGGACGCCGGAGCTGACGACTTCTTGGAGCTCGCACCACAAGGTCCTCCTGCCGTCCGCCGGCGTTACGATCTCCATGGCCGTGGGGCGCGGCAGAGCCGCCATAACCGCCGCTCCGCCGCTGCCATCGTTGATCACCTGGGCACGAGCACCGCCACGTGAATGATCAACTCATCGGAGGGCCAAGACCAAGTTGGACATGGCCAAGACCAAGTTGGACAGGGCCAAGACCAAGTTGGACATGGCCAAGAAGGATGAATAGTGGTTGATTAAAGAATGATACTCGTACAACAAGCATGGCGTGACTAAAACTACAAGCACGGTGTGTGAATGGGAAATTCAGCCCAATAAAAATGGTATGAAAATGAGCGTGTCTCACCTCATAGTCGTCTTCACTGCTGCACTCTCCCTGACGATAGGTCGCTCGCTCCATCACGCTCGCAGTGTAAAACTGGTACAGAGGCTCATCCGCAAAGTGTGAGCTTATATAAGTGGGTTCATCTCTAGCGTGAGACATGCCGGCGTCTTTAGAAAAGTCAAGTTGGTCTCTTCTATCGACGTCATTAAAATGTTGCGGAACTGTCGTATGCACAGGTGACGTTGGTGTACTTGAGAGAGAACCAGAGTCACCTTGCCCCGATTTTTTATATTTTTGTTGCCCGTAGGGCCTAGCGGGCAGTGGAGGGGGAACTGATGCAACTTCAGAAGAGGGACGGTAAGTCTCAATCGGAGAGCATCGAGTTTTTGGTAAATTGCGGCAGACACCGGGAGCCATTTCATCCGTTAACCTTGAGCTACCATTTGTGTCATCGACGTTAAGATCGTCACACGACCTGCTAGCCTTTAATGAGTATTTATTTAGATTAGGAAGCGTAGAACCTCGCGATGAGGTTGGCGAAGGGCTTCTTAAGTTTCTCGATGTGCTGGGCTGAGATAGGCACGATTGCTTAAATGCCTCGGAAATTGGGCTAGTTGGGGAATGATCAGGAGTGAGGAGTAAAGGAACGGGCGAGGATTCGCTGCTGGAACCGACAGAGGAGCGTAGAATTTTTCTGCCTTGAGGACGTGTAGGGCCAGCGGACAGTAGTTGGTTGAGCCGAAGGGCCAGCTTGTCTTTGGACAAATCTTGGCCGTCGGGTGAGCGGCCGTCGTCGCTCTCTGAGTAATCTGGAACGTATATAAATAACATTAGAGGGCAGAACACCGATAAAGGAATCTGCCAAAAAATTAGACAAAATCAAGCGCCATTATCAGTGACTCAGACTTTGGAATTGATCGCTCTATCACTTCCACAGCAATGTTTTTAAACGTTTCAACATGCATAAATGCACGAGACTGCATGTTGGCATACGCGTAACTGTGTCGTAAGTTAAATTTCACTGTCAATTCAGGGTCATGAGATTTCGGTAGGACGATGATCATGAATTGTGCTAAAAAGTTTGCAAGGCAGTACAGAAAACATTTATACTTCAATATATTACAATCGCTTGCACAGTCAATTGAGCGTAAAGTTATCAGTAACTTTAAACGAAGGAAGAGGGTAGAAAACTTACCTGAAGGAGGCGCAGGCGGGGCATTTTTAGGCCTCACAGGGCGTGGATTGGAGGCACATTTTTGGGAACTCTTCGGTCGTCCTCTACCAACTCCTGCCGACTTGCCATGACTATGATCTGCGTAGCCGGAGTAGCTTTTTGGTCGCTGGACAACTCCAACGCTTGCAACTCTGCCTAAACCCAGCACGCTCTTTAGGTCATTGCCGTCGACGCCCTTGAGGATTTCCATGTTCTTTATGTCCATATTCCTGAGGTCCACGTCTCTTAAGCCCATTCCTTTGAGGCGATGGGATGCCTCAGCCGCCGCAGCCGCCAAAGCGGCATCCCGCTTGTCGGTCTCTATGGTGAGGGTGAGGTAGAAAGTAGCCGTTTCTTTCTCTCTGTCGTCAGGAACGAAACTCAAAGACTGGCCCGAAGAAATTAGAGATGTGGTTGACTTTCTCCGAACAAAATGGTTCTTGAACGACCACTTGCGTTTGTCTTCACTAGTGGGTGAAGCGTCGTTGTAGATGTCTGTTGAGATAAAGATAGATTAAAATTATTAGTAAAAATCTGTGTAGATACTAGACCAAAACGGCGTGACTTACTAGACCAGAACGGTGTGACTTACTAGACCAGAACAGTGTGACTTACTAGACCAGAACGGTCTAGTACCAGAACGGTACTAGACCAGAACGGTACACATTTAAAATTCTCAACGTAGAGAAAAATTTGTACAGCATAAAATACTTCTTCAGTCCTAGACAATCGCTGTACCGATAGACTTAAGATGATCCTCAACATAAAGAAGGTTACTTATTAGTAGCCTAAGTTAGAATGTCAAATCAATTGGCGCTTACTTTCAATACTGCGACCATCAAAAGCAAGTGGCGCATTGTTCTTCTTCTTCATTTTATTAAGGCCAGTCTTGACTTCGGTTTTGGTCTGTGACCAATTACGCTTCAGCTTCTGCATTCCTATGTTCGCTGCCTCCGCAATTTTGGTGATGCTCTGCGTCCCAGACGTCGCCGAACCCAGACTGCTCTGACGCTGGTACGTCGGCCCTGACGTTGCGAAGGGCAAGTCAGACGAGCCCTGGGACTCCTGACGCTCCAAGCTGTTGCTCGAGTACAAACTCTCCTCCAGGCACTGGAATTACGAACAATCAGAGTAGGATTAATGTCATCTATTAAGAAAGCATGACTTTAGAAATAGTTTTTCGGTAGTATTGAGTGAAGGACATGAAGTTATTTAAAATAATGAAGCATTTGAGGCATAGACACTAAATACTACACACATATAAAATAAATTAATGAGGCTGAACCATGAAATGTAGTGCTTGATTGAAAAATTATTAGAAATGTGGCAAGTAAATATGGAATGAATCAGGTTTAGCATGGCAGAACAAAAATAAATAATTCGAAAAACAACGCGTTAAATGAATAATAGGAAGTAATGAATAATATGAATGAATGAACAATAGGAATGAATGAATAATAGGAAAGAATAAAAACATTGAATGAACAACAGAGACCTGAGGATGCAGTCTGGAGTAAGCCTCGTCTGAGCAATCAGAGTCGAAGGAGTCGTCATCGTCTCTGCACGCTTCCTCGTCCTCGTTGACCGCCTCGGTAATCGTACTTTGGCCGTTATCTGCAAACCAAACCACGATTTTTGATCAAATAAATTGCCCGGACCCATGCGTATAAAATTCGCGTAATGGATACAAAAATTTGCTTTAAAGTATCAAGTTGATTCGAAGCATCAAGTTGATTTAACGCATCAATTTTAACGGGTTTTCTCTGACCTCCAGGAGAGCGCGGCTTATGGATGTGGTTTTGATGTTGCTGCTCGTTGATGGCCTCATAGATGGCCTCGTAGTGACTCGATGCCTCGCCATCGGAGTCGTGGTCTGCGAATCAAAAATAAGTTATACTTGTGTATTCAGGACTCGAACACCACCAGGCGTTTGACGTTGATATAGCGTTGATTAAACGTTGTTTCAGTAAAATAAACTCTTAATCAATGTTTTTTGACGCCATTTGCTAAGAGTGATTGTTAGGAATGAATTAGAAGGTCTTCTGGACCTTCGAATTCATCACATATCGTCGAATTTTAAGTAGATCTCCTTGTAGATTCGATCCACGCATTGGCACCAAATTATTGCCAGATTAAATTAATAGCTAGCATATTAAGAGGAGCTATGGAATTTGAAATAATGTAAAAAATTTGTGAATGATAGAATGAATTGTCATGAATGAAGCCACTGCACTCTTTGTCGTCGTTCCGAGACTCACCAAAGCTGCGTGGAAAGTTCCGAGGAGATTTTCTTAATAGCTAACGTACCTGCATGAGGGTGACGCAGACTCCAAGCAACTGAAAAGGACTTAAATATACAAAAAAATACAATTACGCAGTACATACAAGAAGACTGTATCCAATCATTTGGAAATAACAACCTTGATGAAAGGGACGAAAAATGCACAAATACGAATACTTGCTGTCGACACAATGGCAACAGTAAACGATGACAATAGGAAACGATGTCAACAAAAACAGGTGCTATGGATTCGACCCAAACGGATTCAACTGAGGCAAAACATGCACTGGATGCAAAAAAGGCAGGGGTTCCGAATTTCTAATGTTTCGAATTTGATAAACACCAAAATAAGATGCATGTTATTCGGAACTTGATAAAGTTGAATAAAGAACTTGAAACAATTGGTGTGATAATTCCCAGCGAAACGAAGGTCACGGGCTCTAACAACTAAGACGTTCCCGCATCATCCGGCACTCTTGTCTACCCCATCAGGGATCTCAGGCGGCCGATTTATAATCTACCATTAGCCAGCGCTAATTCGGCAATACCGTGTAATAAAGTAGCGGGTTGTGTTGGCAAAACATGCGGGCGCATCTCGGAACAAGGAACGATTCTCACACGCCACACACATCATGGCAAGAAGAGAAGTACATCCATTATTTAGGCATGATCACCAACAATATCAACATTCCAACATCAAAACAACGCGCCAATGAATCTAAAAAGGGCGAAATGCTCACCTTTACAGCAACAACAATTCCACCCATTCATCACCATGCGCCACAATAGTGGTCGACGCTTGTACATTATTCGCTAAAATAAACAATAACTTTGATGTGAACAATGGTCAAAGAGAACCATTCCCCTTGCACGAACTGCAGTGGGTAACGCGAGTTACAACTTAATGCTCATTAGGCACGCGGTGTAACGTGAAGCAAGATTCAGATAATATTGATTAAGGTTTTTTCTATTCTGTAAATAATACTTTCTTTGTTCTTCTTTGCTAAAATACACCTACATGGGTTAAGACAAAATAAGGGAAACGCCTGACATTTTAACATCGTCATTTTTGAACATGTTATAACAATGAAAACGGGATATATTTTTATATTTTTTTGGTTATTGCTGCTGCTAATTGATATTTTATTCTTGCACAGATACGTTTAGTAAATTTTTGTTTCTATAACCCATAAATGGCAAACTTCTCTGACTTTTAAAGAGGCCAAATTGTTGGTGCCCGTATTTCAGTTGCTAGTGTGATAGAAACTTTCCGAATGCTTGACGTTTTTAGAGGTACTGTCTCAAAAGGAATGACTGCTTTTGAAAGAGAAGGAAAAACGTCCTTAGCAAAGCACAGGTCTGGCTGAAAGTCGAAGTTTTCCGAGAAAGACCATCGGTAGCTAAATCGAATTGCGATGGACAATCGCAAGACCGTACGGCTGTTAAAAATTACTGCTGCCCTCAATGGACACCTGCAGAACCCAGTTTCCACAAAGACTGTTCGCCGAGAGCTGCACAAATTTAGATTCTATGGAAGAGCTGTAATTAGAAAACCTATTCTATTATTCTGGTTTCAACTTCAAATGCTTCAAATGTTTTGAGTGATAAAAAACCTCCAGAATTGGTCCTTCGAGCAGTGAAAAAATGTGATTTTCTCTGACGAATCATCGTATACCTTATTACCTACCTCTGGCTGAATTTACGTTTAAAGACAGTCAAAAGATTCATTTAATCCCGACTGCCTCCTGCCAACCATAAAACATGGCGGGGGATCTGTAATGTTCTGGAGTGTTATTTCTTGTAAATCCGGTGGACCAATGATTTCTCTCCCATGGAAGAATTAACAGCCGTGACTATTAAGGAATTTTGGAGGAATGGTTCATCCAATGGTTCAAGCACTGTTTCCGGAGGGAAACGCCATCTTTCAAGATGATAATGCCACGATGCATACAGCTGGAATTGTTAAAAAAATGGCACGAGGAACACTAATGAAGTTGAGCATCTGATTTGGCCACCAGACCTGAATATTATCGAATATTATCGCCATCATCTTTAAAAGAGCTGGAGGGAGTTTTAACTGAAGAATGGGTTAAAATTCCTTTCCATACAATTCATAAATTTTATGAATCAATACCTCGGAGTATCGAGGCTGAAATTGTCGCAAAAGGTTCACATGAAGAAACATGCTTTGCACCAAACTAAAATATATTTAATGGATTTCTCAGGTGTTTCCCTTATTCTGTCTAACCCCTTTAAGTCGATAGATTTTTTGCTTGAAAAGCTGATGAACACGACACGACTTCGTCACCACGCGATAGTCGCGTCAGAGTAACACTGAACAACACACAAGCAGGAGCTCCTGTTGAACACCTGCCACGCCTATGATCAATCGTTCGCCCTGTCTTGAAACGGTACGTTATTATCATTATTATTATTATTAATATTGTGGTTTTTTTGTGTTTTACAGCATTAATCGCGACATCACAACACCAATTGGCACGATTTCGCGCTAGCAATTTATGTATTAAGTTCGACGTCTAAGATGTAGACCTAATAATCTGGAATATTTCAGGTATGGTGACTGTTGAGTATTTGGCGCAGTACAGCATGGCGACTGATGGAGCAAGATGTCGAAAAAACGCCAAAACTTAATTAGAAATTAGAGCCGTATTCGTGTCTCTTACCACCAATTATTTTACCAGAACAAATGACCGAAATTTCGAACAGCAGTAACCACAAGAAAAGGGGTAATATGGCGTCCACATAGTTTGCGACATTACTCTACAGTTTAATGTTTTATTTCATGAATCGCGGATACATTTAACAAGGTCAACCAGTTCCCAGCGAAGCGGCATCTGTTTAATAAAGCATGTGAAATAAGAAGCCTGATCAGGGGTCGTGAGCGTAAATATAACCCCAGCGCTCATAACATAAACCCATCAAGGTGTGGGACTACGTTTTAAAGCAGCGACAACAGTTACATAATTAAATTTAATTCAAGCGTCTACCAGTAAATCAGTAAGAAAAATGCTTGCAGACAATGACTCATTTTCTCGACGGGTCAGCTCTCTCTTAATGTTATTGCTATATGAACTACTAAATTAGAAAGGTGATTCAAGGCGTACCAACAACATAAATTTACTGCAATTGTGAGGCATGAGCGGCCTTGTCAAATGAACCTGGAACGTTAACAAATCTGTCTGTTAAATGGGATGGTGCATTTAAAATTTTAAAGACAGGAGAAGCGCTAACCCAGTTGGAGATCACTCAAAAAATTAGTAGTAATAATAATTGTAATATAATACACGAGCGCATGCATTAATAGATGGAACCAATTTATTACAACAAAATAAAAATGCAGATTACCGATCTACTTAAATCATTCTCATATCGTGATGAGCGTGGCATGATATGACCCTCACGCCATGCTCACCCTCATGCCACGCTCACCCTCATGCCACGCTCACCCTCATGCCACGCTCACCCTCACGCCACGCTCACCCTCATGCCACGCTCACCCTCATGCCACGCTCACCCTCATGCCACGCTCACCCTCATGCCACGCTCACCCACACGCCACACTCACCCTCATGCCACGCTCACCCNCGTGAGCCTTTCATGCACATGAGCACCGTCTGTGTGCATCGTGAGCCTTTCATGCACATGAGCACCGTCTGTGTGCATCGTGAGCCTTTCATGCACATGAGCACCGTCTGTGTGCATCGTGAGCCTTTCATGCACATGAGCACCGTCTGTGTGCATCGTGAGCCTTTCATGCACATGAGCACCGTCTGTGTGCATCGTGAGCCTTTCATGCACATGAGCACCGTCTGTGTGCATCGTGAGCCTTTCATGCACATGAGCACCGTCTGTGTGCATCGTGAGCCTTTCATGCACATGAGCACCGTCTGTGTGCATCGTGAGCCTTTCATGCACATGAGCACCGTCTGTGTGCATCGTGAGCCTTTCATGCACATGAGCACCGTCTGTGTGCATCGTGAGCCTTTCATGCACATGAGCACCGTCTGTGTGCATCGTGAGCCTTTCATGCACATGAGCACCGTCTGTGTGCATCGTGAGCCCTTCATGCACATGAGCACCGTCTGTGTGCATCGTGAGCCTTTCATGCACATTAGCACCATCTGTGTGCATCGTGAGCCCTTCATGCGCATGAGCACCGTCTGTGTGCATCGTGAGCCGTTCATGCGCATGAGCACCGTCTGTGTACATCGTGAGCCTTTCTTGCGCATGAGCACCTACTTCGTGCATCATCCATGCACATCAGTAACGTCTGCGTGTACCGTCAACATGAACATTAATATCAAGATGCACCATCGAGAGGGGGCAGAGAATCAGTCGAACAAGCGCTGCTGCACACTACCACTTGGTGGCAACGAGCTCAAGCAGCGCCTCATGCGAGGTCATCCTAGGACAACTGTGCATGAGCTCAAGCAATCTTTTATACAAGGTCATCTTAGGACAACTGAAAATGTTTGCTTTCAAGAAACAAATTTGGGAAACACAACGAGAAAATTATCTCAATATTTTCCATACATTCCCCGATGTACTACCAACGTCTGTAACAATAAAAA